AGGTCAGATGTGCGTACAGGAGTGTGTGAGCAGAATATATTAAGAAGCTTCATTAAGCCTCATTTACTGACCGTTAGCATAATGTTCTATGATGATATTAGCATGTGATTTATGATATTTCTTCAGGAATATGTTTTTGGCAGATGCCTTAAAGGATTTTGCTGGGTTATTTTCATTATCACAAGCTTCACAACGTTTAAAAAGTATATAAATGTAAACATTTGTACAGATGTATAAGAATCAGCAATACTGTTTCCAGACACATGTAATATATAGAGATGGATAGACGGATAGATTTATTATTATTTATTTTTGTATTTCTTTGTTTATTGGACTATTTATTTACTTATTTATTTGTGGGAGTTATTTAATTTATTTAGTTGTTGACTTATTTATTTGACTTATTCATTTATTTACTTGTTGACACTTTGACTTATTTTCTTTTATTTTAACTTATTTATTTACTTGATGACTTTAATTTGTACTTGTTTATTTATTTTTAACATATTTTTATTACATTTTTATTTTTATATCACATCAGAAATGCATGCTCTTATTTATTTACAATTTTATTTTTTGACTTTATTTAGTTCTAGACTTATTTATATATTTTGACATTTCTTAAATTGCTTAATTTATTTAACTTATTTGTTTTGAGTTATTTATTTGCTCATTGACTAAATTATTTATTTATTTATTTCAAACGTATTTTTACATATTTTAATTTTGTCATTTTCATTTTTAAGTCACACCTGAATGTCGTCGTGCAGGCCGTTTCGACAGCTGTACAGCTCTTTTTAGTGTCATTTTTGAAGATTTCTTGTGTGTGCATAAACAAAAATACAAGCTTTGCATTTATTTCTCCGAACCCTGCGGTGAGTTTCTGCTGTCGTCTGCTGTGCTGTTCCTTTAGTGTCTTCTGACAGCGAGCGAAAGCGTCTCACAGACCTGCGCAGCGCTTTATTCAGCGCTCTGAAGAGCCTCCGAGTGATCAGATCTCGTCTCCGCGCCGTCAGATGCTTTTCAGACTAATCAAGCCGTACACACACACACACACACGTGCTCACACAGCTGCGGTGATGGATGGCATGTGTTGTCTGTAGCTGAAGGGGGTTTGACAAACGGCTGTAGATCACAGCGCTGGACTCTGACCTCTGACCTCTGCTGTGTGTGGCAGCAGACGCTCGGCCCTCAGGAGCACGACTGCAGGAGAAACCAACATTCAAACACGATTGTTCAAAAGTTTGGGGTCAGTAAGAAGAAATTACTACTTTTATTCAGCAGGGATGCATTAAACTGATCAAAAGTGAGAGTAAAGACATTTATAATGTTACTAAAGATTTCTATTTCAAATAAATGCTGTTCTTTTGAACTTTCTATTCAGCAAAGAATCCTGAAAAAAGTCACGGTTTCTTCAAAAACAGTTTTCAGAATTTTTTTTTAAATTCTATTTTAAAATATATTCAAATAGAAAACAGTTCATTTAAATTATAATAATATTTCTCAATATTTCTGTTTTTGCTGTATTTTTGAGCAAAAAGATGTCACCTTTGTGAGCAGAAGAGACTTACCAACCCCAAACCTTTGAATGGTAGTTTACATTAAGTCTATTTATTTATTTGACATATTTTGACTGAGTTATTTGACTTTTCGATTTAATTCAATTCACATTTATTTGTAAAGCACTTTTCACAATGCATACAATTTCAAAGCAGCTTTACAGAAATTGATTATAAATAATTATATATTTTTTATATATATTTCTTTTGATTTAATTATTTACTCAATTACTTTTTGCTTTATTTATTTTGACTTATTTACTGCTTGACTAATGTTTCACCTGTTTATTTTTTTTTTTTTTTTTGCATAT